AGTGCCTGAACCTAGTACTGATAAGCTTGGTTTTATTAAAACAAATCTGGAAAACACTACTTCCCATTTTGAGGGGGGAAAGTGGGAAGTAGGTAAGGCTCACTTCAGAAGTCTTGGAATCCTAATCTGGTCTTCTGTTTCACAAAGACAATTTAAACACAGCCACTTTTAAAACAGAAGCTAACAAACAATCAGACCAAAACACAGTAACATCCTATAAGGTGTGACAAAAAAATACAGTGAATGTTTAAACATTAAAAAAAATTATCATAGTAAAATATAGAATACCATTTATGTTCCTCAAAATACTCACCCTCACTTGAAACACATTTATCCCACTGTCCTTGCCACTTTCTGAGGCAGTCCTGGGTGTCCCCTTAAGGAACTGTCTTTACTTGCACTATCACTGTTGCCTGGATGTCCTGAATTCATTCAAAATGTTGACTTTTCATGGTAATTTTGACTTTGGGGAAGAGCCAGCAGTTGCACTGTGCCAGATCTGGTGAATACAGTGGACGGGGGACATGCCTGCTTTTTTTGAACTCGGGTCCTTGCGCTTGCAAGGCAGGCCACAGAACCGCTGAGCTAAATCCCCAGCCCTATTGGTGATTGTTTTGTTTTGTTTTTTAAGCCTGCTTTTTTGATGGCACTCAGAAGCAGCATTCAGTGTTTGCTTTTGTAATAACACCTCATAAACCCTCAAGAAGGAGGATTTCCAGAACTGTTTCTAAAAGTAACAAGAACAATGGGACAAGTGTGTTTAAAGGAAGGAGGATTAATGGCAATGTGACTTTTACTCTAATAAATTTTAATATTTATTGTATTTTCTATCACATCTTGCATGACACCAAGCCCTTGACCCAGGCTAGGGGCATCAAGGTAACAAGCAACAAGCCTCAGGCCTAGGTGGAGCCTTGGAATGGAACCAAAGGTACAGATCAGAGGTGCAGTGGGTTGCCTGTGTTCACATCTCAAAATACTAAGTGTTTCTAAAACAAAACAAAACAAAACAAAACAAAACAAAAAAACCCTACAAATAGGCAAATAAGGCCGGATTCTCATGATTTACTCTTGTTTCAATTTGTTTACCTTTTAAATTGGCCATACCTGCCCCATCTAACTAAAAAGAGAATCTAAATATTAACTCGGAAAGCAGATATATGAATACTGGGCTGAGAGTCCATCCTCCAGAGGGTCAGCCATGCCTGTGCCTCCCATCCACTGAACACTGAAACATCCGGCGCCATCCACGGAGGTGCTGGATCTGCCCCCGCCTGCAGCAGGGAAGAGAGCAAAGGAGAAGTGAGGCTACCAAAACAGCTAAGATATACCTCTGCATTAATCCCTGGCTGAGAGCTTTCAAAATTAACTCCCTCTGGTGAATTTTAACTAGTGTATCACAGTCAGAATCGCACTGTGACTTCTGCAAAGCGATGGCTCCTCAGTCCTCTTACATAACTGTTTAGAAAACACTGTAGGTACTAAAATGATTCCCACTGTGAAAATGGCTCCTTCTGCTCTGCCCTGGTTTCTGCACAGAATTTTATGTTAATGGCTTACTGGTTCTCAGGGGACTAAAGAGCAGGCAGATCTGCAAGTCAGCAATGTACAGTCCCCCAAATACAGGCACAACAGTGCGGCCCCTCAGTCAGGTGGGATGAGTGATGCCCCCACAGCTCCAGCAGAGATGTGTCCTAAATGTGCCCTACGGGGATGGGAGTGGGGAAGGAAGGAAGCCTTTCCCCCAGGCACCCCAAATGCTGCCTGTCACCATGGTCCCATCAACGGCCCATCTGAGGACAAACACCACAGTCACCTTCGCCTCTGCTGAGACTCCCAAGCATCCACACCCAGATCCTATTCCCTCTGGAGGTGACTGTTGATACTGCTTTGAGACCTGTCGTTTGGTTTTATGTATTTACATATTAATGAAAAGGTGGCCTGTATAAAGCTCTTCTTTTTCAATAAAGAGCACCCGAAACAATTTGCCCAGGAGGACATCATCACTCTTGACTTCTGCCTCCACTGCAAATACATTCTGCACTTCTAGTTGTCACTCTACGGTAGCTACAGTTAACAGACAGTTTAGAGTTTAAAAACAGCAAATGAGACGATAATTTTAACATTCTCACCACGATTTTCTTCAGTCCTCCTCACCTCTGTGTAGCACTGCCCTCTTCTCCTGCTGACTTGAAGCCGTGCCTTCTACACTGAGTATGCCCTCCACAGTCTCACCATCTGTCAGCTGGCTTAGGTATCTTGATATAAGCAAAAAGACCTCTTCCCCAGCCCAAGAGATGACGTGACATTTAGCAACAGAAGTTCAAGCCCGACCACTCTGGGTAAGGACCTCTACCTCCTACTGGGGTCAACATGGACAGAGGAATAAATACAAGGAATTCTTTGTCCTCTCCCTGTCACAAACCAAAGACCACTGGGTGAGGGCGGGTCTAATGCAATCCCATCTGATTCCTCAGGAACACACCTCAATTCCCGAGCATGTGATTATGGACAGTTCATGGCTGCAATCACTGCTTTATTGTATTTCAGATTAGCCATAGGAACATACCACAAAGGGTAGCTAACATGCCAGGCCCCGAGGCCAGGAGCAGTACCAGCCTCTTGTCCTGGCCCAGCCAACCCTTTGGGTGACATGCTGGAAATTTCTACAAAAGCCAGGCTACTTTCCACTCCACACTCCTGTCACACCTATAACCTTAGTACATTCATAGGAAGGAGGAATGGGGAGCAAGCTTTCGGGTATCAAAGTCCTCATCTCACAGAGAATGACCACAGTGCTCAGAAAACAACACAAGCCAACAGACGAAACCATGTGCACCCACAAAACCCTTACATGTGTGACAACGTATTTACCACAGGTAGCACCCAAAATTGACTACACCTCGTGCACTGCTCTTACAAGGTGAGGGTGGCAGGAGGGCCTCTGATTCCTCCTCTGTATTCTGAGGCCTTCACTGTCACACTCAGAGAATGTGAAGAGGTGGTGCCAGATGATTTCCGAGGCTGTGTCAGAAAGGCAGCTCCACTCCTGGCTGGCTCATCCTCTCCAGAGGCCCGTCTTTAGAGCCCCAAGTGCCAAGATTAAAAAGTTCAGCCACCCTGACAGCAAGAGGCTCAACAAACCATAAAGGAACAGAGACACTTCATAGGGCCCAGCTGTCCTGGTGTAGCCAATGTGCTTCGTTCCTGGCCATACGAGTGAAGAAGCCTTCAAGGGGACTGCAGCACTCCAGCCTGCTGACTGCAACCTCATCACACCCCTGCAAATCGGACTCACAGAGACTGAGATACAAGATCATGGTGGTTTTAAATTAGGGCGATTTTTTTTTTTTGGTACCAGGGATCGTACTCAGGACCTCGAGCTTGCCAGACAGGTGCTGTGCCACTGAGCTAAATCCCTGGCCCTGGGGTAATTTTTATTTTAAGGGGTAATTTGTCAGGTAGCAATAGGAAACCAATACAAGATTTGTTTCTAAAACTACTAAAAACTTTAACTTCAGTGTTCATCAACTGTTAATTTAATTTGTTTTTGTGGGTGCACAGGATCTTGCTATGTAGTTCAGGTTGGCCTGGAACTCACTGTGTACCCAAGATGATCTCAAACTTGTGGGATCCTCCTGCTTAAACCTCTCAATTATAGGTGTGCACCACCATGCCTAGCTTTACTATTGATTTAAATAAATAAAGAAGCAATCTTCCAATGTGGACAGGTATGATGTGCATGCCCCACCACTCTGTAACTTGTTTTGCTTTGCTTTAACACTTAGCTTTTATCGCTACAGAGCTACGACATGATTTATGGATATGCTGCTGAACAGGAGACAGAAAGACTGTTTTGCTCACTGTGACATCCCAAGGACCTAGACAGCACCAGGCGTCAGGGAGCTGGGGGCCCAGATCACTGGAGGACAGACACATGACTATATCTGGGGTGACCTGGCTTAGTCTTCTGACTCCTTGATCTTTCATCATCTGACTTCCAGCTTGATTTAAAGTTTCTGATCTATTTCCACTGCTAAGTTTCTAACTCCCAATTACCAACAAAACCAACAGATAGGCCACTTTCCTGTCAGTTCCAACCAGAGGCACTGACGTACCCATACCACGGTGCCAGCTCAGCATTCTGAGGAAAGCCAGTGATTCCCTTTGTGAGCACGCCTGTATGTGTGCTGAACCCCTTCCTAGGCGGGCCCAAGTAGCAAAAAAAAAGTGACACCATCTTCCACTCAAAGACCACACACTCAAGGTGAAAATGCCCACGTGCTGAGAGGTAAACAGTGAAGGAGCCCAGCAGCTGAGCCCAGAACTGAGCACATCCCCGTCTCTGTCAGGCTCCGTTGGCCTGACGCAAGCACCACCCGGGTGAGTACCAGGGAGCACGCTTTAGTGCACTGTCCCGTCAGTCAGGTGAGACCAGCTGGGGAAACAGCACATTAACTGATACACACGTTCTGCTGGCCAAATACTTCTTGCCAATTATGGCTACACAGCTACACTCAAATTAAAAATAACACAATGCTAATAACAGAACCCAAACAGGCATTCTCTCTCCGCAGTATCACCCCAGAGTCTCCACATAAATGCCCTGTAAAATGACTCATAAAAAGGTTACCAAAAGTTCATTCTTCCTTGGTAAAGTACATCCTAGCACAGAGGAAAGAATGAACTAAAGAAAGAAATGTGGCTTGTCCTTAAGTCATAAAGGAACAAAAACTGGACATCTCCAGTGAGGAAGTATTTTACAAAACTTGTAATTAAAAGGTTGCAGACAAGTGGCTACCAAGTACAAACACAACATCAGCCCAAAGTGGGAGCCAAATATTTAAATTCAAATTGTGTAACAGTCAGATGTTCAAAAGAAACTGGTAAAATTGATTTTAGCATTTTGTTCAACTTAATATATCCAAAATTTTATCATTTCAGTATGTAGTCAGTATAAAAATTATCACTGAAATATTTCCTAGTTTTTCTTTCTCAGTCTTTCATTTTTTATTTTCTTTTTGTTGTTTTGGTTTCACTTTTTCCTTCCCTTGTCTCTGAAATCCAAGGTGTATCTTCCACTGACCATGCATCTCTTCTTGGACTAGTAGTTGGCACATTTAAGGTAGCTGATGGCTGCCACACTGCAAAGTACAGTCCAGAACAATCCTGGCTTCTGTTTAAATAAAATATCAAGACACATGGAACTGAAATTTTCTTTTAAGGAGGTAACCATACTGTTATAATTACAGGCAATAATGTCATATATTCCTAAAATAAATAAAATCATATAGGCCGTTATTTCAAGTTAGGTAAAACCTATCTTCTAGAAGAACTTAAACAAGTCTGTAAGTTATGATCTGCACCAGGAAAACTGGGGCCCCCAAAAGCACTCAGGCTCCCTTCAGCTCCTGGCAGAGAAGGGGCGCATGGGCAGTTTCCCCTCCATGACAGCATGGGCCCCAGCTCCTCACTGAAATCTTTTTTAAAGAATGATCTCCAAAGGAGAAACAACTGTTACTCTAGAAAATGCAGTAAAAGAGGGAGGATTTCACTTACAAAGCTCGACCTTGGTCAGGAGCAGATGCCTGTCCCAACAGTGGTCACTCCCTGTCCCCCTGTGTGGTATCACACTGTCCCCCTGCAAGAGGGCTATCATGTTTTCAAGAGAGTCCCCCAAGGGAGAGCCCCCCAGATCAGGGACTGCTAGGGGCTAGCTTGGCTAGCTTTTGTTTAGAACAATAGTGCTCCCATGATACCTCATTCTTGCTGAAAATATTGGTAGTAAGGGAGCATGAACACAGCTGTGTGTAAATTACACACACAAACAGATTAGATCTGTATATTTATAAGGAACGCAAACATGCTAATGGAGCATTTACATACACAGTTGGATACACTGGGTTGCAGGCAGGGTGGAATTTGAGTTCCAAAGCACTTCTATAAAATTTTGCAGAAAGAAATGCAGGGTCAAGCAAGGCAAGGCTGAGACTGCGCCCACCTCCACTGCACAAAATAGATGCCTCTTCATTTTCATTTGTAATGCTGCAGGAATTGTGTGAGACTCTATGAAAGAGAAATCTCAATAAGAACTGGTAGATTCAACTTTTATAAGAAAAACAAATCAATATAGGAAATCTTTACAGTTTTAGGATTATAATTATAATGGGGGAGACAGCAAAAGAAGGCACCGCTGACAGAATAGAAAGTGAGAATGTCAAGTGAGGAATTAAAAGCGGAAGCTCTCTATCCTGCGTACAGCGATGCACACACATATGAAAAGGTGGAACCTCAAAAACACCTGTTAACAGGATTCACAGTTCTACTAAAACTGTTTTAATAGAATATATTTTGGAACAGTTTTGGCTTCACAGAAAAACTGGACAGAGATTTTCCACATACTCGGGTCTTTGGATTTTTCATCTCATCTTGAAAACAGGGAGAACAGCAGTCAGCACTGTACGCTTGTCACATTCAATCAGTAATGAAGACAGTATCAGAGAAGCTGGTTCCAGGCCTGGCCCTACACAGCGTCACAGCCGACCTCAGACAAGCCACTAACACTGTTGGGCCTGTGTTCATCAGAGAAACATGGCTTCCAACAACTCCAATTTACCACAAAAGGGACTAACTTAAATGTTCAGAGTTCCAAAAACAACTGGTTGGAAGAAAAAAAAATCCAACTAAGCAAAAAATTAACCTATACACAGATGGACAGACACATAATAATAAGCTCAGTAAAGGCACTAGTTTTATTCTTTTAAATGTTTGCAACAAAATCCCCAACTGATATTCTCTTTTATTTTTTTCTTGATATGGTATCTATAAACTTCAAATGTAAAAGAAAGAAAGAAAGAAAGAAAGAAAGAAAGAAAGAAAGAAAGAAAGAAAGAAAGAAAGAAAGAAAGAAAGAAAGAAAGAAAGAAAGAAAGAAAGAAAGAAAGAAAGAAAAGAAAGAAA